ACCTGGTTCCTTTGTCTTGTGAGAAGGAAAGGCCACGTTCAAGGTTACAGCCAAATGCTCTGTGAGGCAGGGTATGGAGAGCAGGCTGCAGATGTTTTCAACATGCTGCAAATTCTACAGCCCCAACACACCTCATCATGCCAGAGGTCTCTAACTGCAACTCTGCCCTGTTTCCTTCACACCAGACACTTTCATCCATGAGCAACTTTTCCTTCAATCTCCAACCTGGTAGATTTAGCAACCCCTGATTATCACTGCCTTACTTCTTTGTTCATTATGGGTTTTAAAATGCTGATTTTCTATCACCCCACTTGCATTTATTATCCGTGATTTTTCTATAATTAACAACTTTCCCTCATCAACTAGTTGATTATTTCAGAGATACTTTGTCCTAGAAAGGCAGGATAATGGCTGGGTTCTTTTACTTTTCAGGGTAATGAGCTGGTGTCCTAGCAACTTGGAAAGGCAACGACTGGAGTTTTCTGTCAGTTTACTGTGCTTCTGCGGCCTAAGCCTTGTGGTGACGCTGACACTGTGCTGTTAGCACTTCAAGTCCCAACAGGTCATCCATGGTGGACAAGTTTCAGCAGATCTCCAAATTAAGACAACCTAGGAAGAGAGGCCCGGAGTTTACTTCAGAAAATTAACGCTGACCACCCATGGTTTACAACTGAATAGGTCTTACAAGTGCTGGGAGGTATGGAAGTGCTAGAAGTTTGGGAGAAGGTTGGGCAATCTCCTCTCCTATGACTTGTTGTTGTTGTTATGTGTCATCGAGTCGCTTGTAACTCATAGAGACCCTATGTACAACATCCCTAAACTCTGCTCTGTCCTGTTCCAATCGTACTGTCTCCGACACACCCATCCCGATTACCCCAGTCACTGAATCAATCCACCTCATAGGGGGCCTTCCCCTTCTGCGCTGTCCCTCCACCCTCCCAAGCATGATGTCCCTCTCCAAGGATCCACTAGACGGTCAGATAAGAGTTGGATATGACTTAACAGTAAACAATAAGGGTGTTCCGTAGGCCTTAAGGTTACAGTGTCCATAACAATGGACTCAAGGAAACCAAAGATCCTGATGCATGGAATCACTGTGAATTGTTGTCAATTTGATGGCAGCTAACAATAACAACAGTCTTTTTGTTTTGGTGTATCATGATGGAATGCATGAATTCTTTTTCACCTGGTTTTAGTCCCCTGCAATCACTATTCCTTTTGATGATCTAGCTATCCCATCCTTGGATGTTGCTCTAGTGGCTGAGTGGGAAGGCACTGCATTGCTAACCCAAAGGTACACAGTTCGAACCCACCAGCTGCTGCATGAAAGGAAGATCGGCAATCTCTTCCCCGATGCAACTGCTGCCTTTGAAAACCCACAGGAGGTCAGCTATGGCGGATTCCAACTCAAAGGTACCGAACAAAAACAAGTTTTTCCAAAGAGGGCCCACTGCCTTGTCTGTATGTGACTGCTGCCACCTGAGGTGGGCTTGAATCCAACAGTTATTTCAAGGGAGAAAGATGGGCAATCTCCTCCCATGCGATGTACAGCCTCTAACAACCTGCTGGAGGACCAGCTACGAGTCGGCTCCAACTGCACAGCAGAGAGTGAAGTGGCTTGGTGGTTGTTTCCTTTTTAAGTCTTGTGGACACAGGATAGTTCACTCCTGTGTCCTTCTGATGCCACCAACAGTCTATGTTAGATTCTATGCTGTCTAGCATGACTAATATCCTATTCTGAACATTTTTTGCCTGAGACCTTCAATTGGTCATTTATCCAAGGATGTGCTTCCTTTTAGGGAAGAGGTATTTTTAAGGGAATACCAATCTCAGGACTGAGAGAATTCCTTGCTACTAGATTGTCTTTACTTTTAGGTCTTTTCTAATCATAGAGCTAAGAAACATTTCCTTTTAAGGAGAAAAAAAATTAATTTGCACTGTTATTTTTCTTTAAACTGAAGTCTACAGACTTTAAACTTTTTAATCTTATACTTTTAGCTTCTCTAGCTCCTCCTTACTGAAAATCTTGGCTCTTTCAATAAATTGCTCCAAATAATTACATAAGAAATGAAAACAAAACACTCATGTTAAACTCACTTGATGTGATTACTGATCCTGACCTGTCCTTGGAGAGGGACATCATGCTTGGGAGGGTAGAGGGACAGTGCAGGAGGGGAAGGGCCTCTACGAGGTGAACTGATTCAGTGACTGGGGTAATCAGGATGGGTATATCGGAGACAGTGCGACTGGCACAGGACAGAGCAGAGATTAGGGCTGTTGTACACAGGGTCGTTATGAGTCGCAAGCAACTCAACAGCACATAACAACATGTGAGATTAACACCAAATTAATAGATAGTTTATTTTACTTATTTCTGTTTCAAGGTTTAGTGATTTATTTTCCATTTTTAAATTATGGAAAACATCTATATAGTTCTAAAGTCAAAACAAGAAGCATCTGGAACCATCTACCTTCCTATTGGCCCCTGCATATCCCTCCTCCAACAGTAAGAATCTACATGAGTTTGCTATTTATCCATCCATTGTTTATTTTCAAAACAGAAATAAATCAACACACTCAACACAAGTGCATACGCACTGTCTCTTCCACATGAACATGGTTTACACTTTGTCTTTTAACAATGTCCATTAGACACACCATTCCATACCAGAAATGACCTTCCTCATCTCTTCTCTCAGTGGCACCATCCTTCACGTTATCAATGAGTCACCCTATCCACTCAGGCATCTGTTAGGAACATTCTCATTGCGCCTACTGTTTTCCTACTATGAACAGAACTACAAGAAGTTGTAGCATGTATACATCATTTCTTGTCTTTGCTTGTATGTATTTGGGGAGATTTATAGATACCAGTTTGCTCACTTAATGGGAAAAAAATGAATGGGCGTTTTTACTTATTCTAGGCAAACACTGTCCCTTAGTAGTGATACTATATAGTGGTCCCACCACCACACACTGGCAGAGGGCTGCTTCATTCTGGTGAACGCTGTCAGACCACTGGACTTTTACCAATTCAGTATGTAGCACATGGTATCACAGTACTGTGCTGACAGTATTTCTTACACTGTGAGTGACTTAATCCATTGTCACATGTTCAAATCAAGATTTACATCCTCCTTAAAACTGTTAATATATTTTTTACTTTTTCCAATGGATATCTTTATCTTTTCAATTTTTAGACAACATAAATTAGTGATATTAATCTTCTGACTATAATGAAATATGTTTATAAAATTATTATACACTATAGATACCTCAAAAAAAATGTAGTCAAATATATCATTTTTTATCCCTGAGTCTTCCCGGATTTATAACCTGTTCTCACAAATCTAAACTAAAAATAACATGTAAAAACCACATTTTTAATATTACTAATGACTCTCCAATTTTTCCTAATCCTTTTAAATTCTCCATTCTCAGATTATTTAAACAAAGATTAGCCTACTATGCTTGCTGTGACATTTCCTGGGCCTGGGACATCTGAGATGGCTGTGTACACAGAGGAAGTGCGACGCTGGGTGGTCCCCAAGGTCTGCAGTCCCCTCAGTCTTGACTCAACAGAGGGAATAGATTATATCTCAGAAGTTAATTATCTGATGGGAATTCCTAGCTTAAAATAATTTTAATAATTTTGGAAAATATGAACCCTATCAGCATCAGAGTTAGCTGATGCTTTCATTTCTGGAAGCTGACATCATATTATCACCAAAGGTCTATAAAATTAAATGATACACTTATGTTTGGTGCAGACACTTGTTACTTTTCTTTCATATCCTTCAACTAAAAAGAAAAGAAGGAGCTCTGGTGGCTTAGTGGTAAAGAGTTGAACTGTCAACACAACCCAAACACAAGTGGTTCAAATCCACCAGCTCCTCTGCGAGAGAAGGACGTGTTATCTCCTGTGCAATTCGCTGCCTCTGAAAATCTGCTGGAGGCTCAGCTATGAGTCAGTGTGGAATCAACAGTACATAATAACAACAAACAGAAAGGAAACGAAGCAACATGCAGGTAAATGGATAGCAGAAGAAAAAATGTAAGTAGAAAAGTAAGTTATATAAACAGAAAAATGATAAAACAGTAGTTGTGGTCAATAAAATCACCGCTGATCAGTGTGTCTCTACTTACCTGGTTAAATACTAACTGCTACTGAAAATGATTCTGAGTCAGCAAGGGAAAATGACCTATCACTCCAGTACCAGTATGGGAAAAAAATCAGTAAAGCAGGAACTACACTTAAAAATGGCTCTTTGATTAGGTATTATTGTCATGACCAGTGTCCAGAATGAAGGCTGCACAATGCAGTGGACTTGGGGGAGGGAGTGCATAGAAATGAAAGAGTTTTTCTTTTACTCATCAAGGAGAAAAGTGAATTGGGGGAGGGGTTGGGCAGGGAGAAAAGTGCAAGAATGAATGAGTAGAAACCCTAAGTCTCTGTAAACTTTCATTAAATTCAACAACAACAAAAAATGGCTCTATTTTTTCCCTTCAAAGTTTGATGCTGAAAAATAACTGTTGTTGTTGTTGACTGCTTTTGAGTCAAGCACGACTCAAAGCAACCCAATGAACAAAAGGCCTGAGGCCTCTACAACTAATGACATTTATCAAAGTTCGTGATAGTTTCCAGAGGCATGTTGCTTAGGAAATGGATGCCATTCCTGTTTTCAATAAAAAGAATTAAGGTGCTATTATTTGTAAAATGTCTTCACACAGAAGTCCACATTTGTAACCTAACCAGTAGCTGTGTATACTGCATGTTGTAACTTGTCCACTATTGACTCAAATGCTTTTCCCAATAGACTTTCACTAATACTTCACGTTGAACACTTCTCCCGAGAACATCTCTAAGGCTTTCATAAAATGCACACAAGAAACTTCGTTAATTCCAATAAAAAGGTTCAGTGGTGCACTTTTACAGCAAAGCCCTCCTCATCCATTATGGATGGCATTCCAGAAAGACACAGTGAGACATGAATACTCACGAAACATGGTGTAAAACTGCTGAGGGTTCAGGTTCCACTTTCCCCAGGGGGTCTTGTGGCCTTTAGACTGGGCATAATTAGCATGGTTAAATTCCGGTTCCGTGCCAAATGAGTCCAGGACTCTGAGCATGCACCTGAAAAGAATAAGGAAAACACAAAAACAAATCCCAACACGGTTAGTTAAAAAACTCAAAAGTTCCAACTCCTCTTCAGAGACTATTTAGAATGAAAAACTAGTTTTTGTTAGAAAGAATGCTGGGCAGGAAGTAACAGGTTTTAGAAGAGCTTGTGTGTCAAATATTTAGCTATGTGACTTTTGCATTTCAGTTGTTACAGAACAGCCACCATTTCCTTCAGGTGAATGGATTTACACATAGATTATTTCTCAAAAATCAGCTTGGTAAAAAAGGTCGTGCTCAAGCTGAGACTGAAGGCTCTCCATCTACTGAAGCCAGGGATGAGGATAAGAAAATGAACTCTCATTGAATCGATTCCACCTCAGAAGAACCACATGTGTCTCAGTGTGGAACTGGCTACAAAGAGCTTCTGAGAACTCATTTTTGAAGCAGAGTGCCAAGTATTTCTGCCAGTGCGTCTCAGCATGAACTTAAAGTGCCCACCTTTTGGATAGCAGCCCAAGTGCGAACCATTTGCACGACCCAGGGCTAAGCACTGAGCAGGTGCTCTGTGAACAGCTGCTGAGATGCAGAACTACCATTTGAGAGGTTCTGATGGGCTGACAGCACATGGCATCCTTCTCTCTCAGAATTAACCTTTTCATTAGTTAGGGTCCAGGCTTGGCACCAGATCACAATTGGGTCACACAACCTTTCTGGCTTCCCAATGCACCTAAAAGTTATGCTTATATCACATTATAATCTAGTGATTGTGCCATTATGGAAAAGTTTGAAATACTATGACAATTACCAAAAGGTGACACAGAAATAAGGTGAGCACACGTGATTGCAGAATTGATACTCGGGGCGGGGGGATTGTATACCAATGAAGGAATTTTTCTTTTACTTTTCAAAGAGAGGAGTGAACTGGGAGGGGGTGGGGTGGGCAGGGAGAAAAGTGCAACAAGGAATGAATGGAAATCCAAAATCTCTGCTTTACAGTATGCAACGAAAGACTCGTTGGAACAAAGGTATACATTCTGAAGCAAAACTTACTGATGTTTATCACATTTGTTTTTATCATGAATTCTAAAAACACCAACATGAATTTAGCTGCGGGGTGGGCTGTAAGCAAAATTAGTAATTATTCTATTTGGACCAATGAGCACAAAAGTGAAAAGAAGATTAAACGCTACGTATTAGAACAAGATGAGGAAAATGACTGTAAAATAAGTGACTGTTTCTTTACTTCCTTTTCTACTACTATTACACATTTTCTCAACTTTTGGGGGAAAAACCACGCCTCCACTCCCCCCTCCCCCCAATCAGGGACATCTACACAGTGGCCTGAATTGTTCAGGCTGAGTAAAAGGGAAATTTTACTGCCCTTTTAGTGTGATCCTCACTGCTTCTCCAGTCAAGGTCGGGACAAAAAACTAGAGAGAGGCATGCGCTCACCACTGTGCCAGGCTTTGGGTCCCAATATGGCTCCTCTCACTGAATAGCAACTCTGTTCACAACAGCACCCAGAAGGGTTCATCAGCACAATGGTGGCCAGTAGGTGAACAAGCATGAGTTGCAAAGCCCATGAAAAACAACATTTCTTTCCAATCCCTAGTTTGCTTTCTCTTTTTCTAGTGTTAAGTGGTGGTGATTATAAAAGCTTGTATCTTTCCACATACATACATCATGGTGGCTTCCTGCATGCTTTCCTGTGCCCTCCAACATGAGAGTGTGGACGGGTAAGATTAGTCTAACCACATAACTGCTCAGTTTTACCCCAAACGACTTCCACCAAACCACTAATCAAGAGGTCAGTGGTTTGAACCCACCCTGAAGCAGCAGAAGAGAAAATCTTCCAAAGCTGCTTCTACCTGAGAGTCTAACCACAGACGTCCTTTTGTTTTCCATGCTCTTTGAATAGGGCATTCCCTTCCTTTTCTTAAGAAAACTTATGTCTTAGCATATCCCACTCCTCTGCTTTTAAAATAAGACAAAGTTATTTGCTCAGAGACAGAAGTGCTCAAGAAGCAGGGAGGACTGTAGTGGCAGCTCTGCAGAAGGTTACAAAGAGTGAAGGGAGGAAGAGAAGGAAAACACAGAATCATGTGCAAATGCTGCCTCTGAAAGTGGGGCTATAGAGTATCACTCACCACAACTGGGGTCAACCAGCAGCACTCTGGGAGCTGGAAGCTGAGTGCTCCCTGGGGCAACAAAGGAGACACCGGCCATAGAGGCTTTAGTCCCTCCAGTCACTTGCCCTTGAATCTTATTAAGGATCTGTGTTCCCCAAAGACTTTGGTTGGCGATTATATTTTTTAGTGAGGAGTATTACTCAAGTTTTTTAAACTGTGAATATTTAAAACAAACCATGGCAAACAAAGATGCCAGGTGGGAGGAGCTTAACCAGAAGGGCTGGCTTTTGTCTGTTAGTGTCTAAGATGTAATCAGTGTGAAGTTAGGCTTCTTCACAATGGAAGACTATTAGACAACCACATACAACAGGAGGTGTGACTGTATCCTTACTCTCAAGGCTGGGAACTGTCTTCTTATTAAGGAGACTCACAGCTTAGGAGAGAGCAGGTCCGATGTTACAGATTTCCTTTTTTCCAATCACTTTCTAAATCTACTGGTTTTAGAACTGTGTTTGTGTTTTTAATATTTGTGACACTCCATGAATGCCTTCTGTGTGCCTGGAGCATCCGAGGCAAACGAATGACTTATAAAGGTACTTCTCTTAATGCCCGAGTATGTGGCTTCCTCCTCCAGGGACAACCTTATCATGCCGAGTGATCTGTGGGACATTTTCACACCTTATAGATGCTCCACCTCAACACTCAAATATTCTCTTGCTAGGAATTATTTCCAATTTAGAGTTTCACATAAAACAGACTGTCTCAAACTACTTGTATCTTAATTTCCTATTTAACATTACAGTGAGTTCAACAGTGGCCACAGAAAGATACGTCAATTCTTAACACCTTATTTGGAGTAAAGGTCTATGCTGGTATAATTAAGGTAAGAATCTTAAGACAAGATCAACTTGGATTATCCAACTGAGCCTGAGTTCACTGGTAAGAGCCTTTATAAGAGGCAGGCAAGGAGAGGGCCATGTAAAGACATGTAGAGAGTGGAGCTGTGCAACTACAAGAAATGCCTGTGGCTGGAGTGAACTAGCTCAGTCTCGTAAGGACAAATACTACATAAAATCATTATTGTAAAAATAGAAGGATAACTAGTAAAATATGTACAGGAACTCAAAGCAGAAGGGGTGGAGGGGTGAAGATAGGTAGGGGTGAAACCACAGGGCTGCACAGTTTGGTGGGAGGAGGGAACAGGGAAGCAAAAGGGAAGAATCCTGGCAAAAAGAGAGTGTTAAGATGGGCAAGGTCCAATGGCGACAGATTGTATACAATATAATGTATTTAACACAATGTGAATGAAGAGTAGTGTGAAACACAATGTATATAAAATCTGTAAGCAAACCAATTAAAACAAATATTGTTAAAAAAATGTCTGTGGGAAACAGAAGCCTGAAGATATAAAGGGAACCTCCCCAACAGTCTTCAGAAAGACAGTGGACAAGCCAGAATCATGCCTTCAGAACCATGGGAAAAGAAATTTCTTTTGTTTTAATCCACTGGGCTTGTGATAATGTTAGAAAAGTAATACAGCTTTCTTTGCCAAAGGCTAGGTATGGAAAAAACCAGTAATACCTGGAATAATACAAGTAGTCACAAACATATAATAAAGCTATGATGAAAATAGCACTTATCATAACCATTTTTGATACAACGCACTGGAAGCAGGAGTGGCGTCCACTTCCAAAATAACATGCCTTCAGAAACTCTATGAACTTTGATAAATGTTGATAATTGTAGACTGGCTTCAGGCCTTTTGTTCATAGGGTTGCTATGAGTTGTGCTCCATTCAAGGCAGATAACAACACTGTTAATAATATGTATTTACATGGTGGTGTTGTTATATGCCGTCCAGTTGCTTGCAATTCACAGCAACCCTATGTACCATAGCTCCGTGCCAACTTTATTATCTCTGACACACCTACCCCCCTTACCCCAGTCACTGAATCAATCCATATTGTTGAGGGTCTTCCTCTCTTGCACTGTCCCTCTACCCTCCCAAGCATGACGTCCCTCTCCAAGGAATGGTCACTCCTTGGAACATGCACAAAGTATGTCAGATGAAGCTTCCATTTAAGGAGCAGCCTGATTTTACCCTCTCTAGGACAAATCTGTTTGTTCTTCTAGCACTTCAATACTCTTCTCCAGCACCACAGCTCAAAGGCATCAATTCTCCTTCTATCATCCCTAGTCATTGTCCAGCTTTCTGACACACAGCAAGTAGCTGTAAAGATTATGGCCTGGATTGGGTGCACCTTAGTCTCCAGACTAACATCATTGCTCTTTAGTACTTTGGAGAGGTCTCTGACATCAGACTTTCCCAATGCAATTCGTCTTTTGATTTCCTGGTTGCTGGACCAAGAGTGTTGATTGTGGGGTCAAGCAAAATGAAGTTGTTAATAATCTCAATCTCTTCACCGTCTATCATGACGCTGCAATCAGCCCAGTGGTGAGAATCTTTGTTTTCTTGATGTTGAGATTCAATCCATATTGAAGGCTGCAGTCCTTGATTTTCTACAGCAAGCGCTTCAGGTCCATCTCAGTTTCAGAAAGCAAAGTTGTGTCTTCTGCATAACTCAGGTTGTTGATGATTCTTCCTCCAATCCTGGTATCGCATTCCTCTTCATAGAGCCCAGCTTCCTGGGAAATCTGTTCTGCACATAGACTTAAAAGGTATAGAGACAGGACACATCCCTGGTGTACATCCTTCACAATTTTGAACTATGCAGTGTTTCCTTGCTCTGTTCTGACAACTGCCTCCTGGTCTAACCATAGGTTTTGCATAAGCACATCAAGTGTTCTGGTATTCCTATTCTTCTAAGAGTTAGCCACAGTTTGTTGTGATCCACACAGTCAAAGGACTTTGCATGGCCAAAC